CAGGATGAGCGTGAATGTCTTTAAGATCGCCACTTAGAGACTTAGAAGACACAAGCGTGGCAGGTCGAGGCTTTGAGTCAAGTGGCATGGCGATCTGGTTTTCAGAGAGAGGTGGTCCAAGCAATCGCTCACACCCGAAGCTAACGATTGCTTACAAGTAGTGTCCTTGCTCCTAGTAGCGATGCCCTTTGTTACTAGTAGCGTCCTTGTTCCTAGGGTTGCTCACAATTTCGCTCACTTCTGCAATTTTGACAGGACGACTTGCCGCAACTTGTTTGCCAATAAGCAGTGTTGCCGTTTAGATCATTCTACCGATTGTTGGCATTGCTGATTTTTACCGCCACGCCCATGGTGCACTGAAAACCTTGGAAGCCCTCCTAGAATATCATTTGGTTGTACAATCTTCCACAATGCCATCCAAATGCTCCCTGCAGCTTGATGATAAGGCAGGAGGTGCGTGACGTGCACAAAGTGGATTGTGAAAGAAGTGAAGTCCTAAGTTGAGGGCAAGTTCTGAAACTGGTTCAATCCTAAAGAGGCGGGTAAGCTCTGAAAAAGCCAGACCGACTCGAAATCACATCACTTGTTTGTAACACCAACAGCACATGAAGCAGGTCACAAATGTCGCCGTTTCATGTGCTCCGGACCGAGCTTACCTCAATTCACCGAAGGAAGCTGCTTGTTGGATCCTTTGATACAAGAGATCTACCAACGTCTTTCTGATCTACTAGGCCCGGAATGGGCTTCCGGCTTTTGTTTGTAGCCCGCTCTCCCCCCCCTTCCTGCTTAATTAAGTAGGCACCTACTTAATTAAGTAAGGAAGAGATAGCTACTAGCTACTTAAGATTCTGGCATGGACGCAGGATAGCTCACGCTTCTTCAAGGAAGCTCCCCCCGCCCCCCGCCCGAGGGCGAGGGGAGCTTCCTTGAAGAAGCGCTCGCAGGAATGATTTGGTTCGTAGATTTTTTGATGTTACAGGTACCTTTAGATTGTACGCTAAATATTCAGTATACACAAAGCAGCAAGGTTTGAGGTCGTCGGACAAGCATTCTCACTACGACCGGCAATGCAGTAATTACAAGAAAGGGGAGAATTGCACACCCACAGCAAATCTGTTTGCAACCAGGCATCCCACCACAGAACTTTGAATCAATGGAGCTGCTCGGCACTCTTTATTGCAGGAAAGCCAGCCAGTAGGCCAGGCTGAAGTTCTATTCTGCAAAAGAAGTGATTTCAAGGGAGGTCCACGAAGTGGTGATTTTGGTGTTCTAAGTTATATGCATGTTTCTTGATTGCTTTTTCAGCAACGTTCTGACCGTGGGCTCCCGTTGGTGCTAACCCTATCTAATGCTAGTTGCTTCTTTGATGGGCTGATTGCTGGAAGTGAAATGATGGGGTAGTGGGTAGGCTCTGTCTTTGCGATTGGAGCAAAAGGCGATCTTGGTTGCTGCTCCGGAAGTGGAGCCCTTGAACTATATTCCAATGAACCAGTGACAGAGGCGTTTTTGTTTCCCAATGCACTGCACGAGAGTCATTGGAGGACTTGTTTCTGGACAAACACTCGAGCAGAATGCACAAACACCAGACACACGAGTCTCTCGCCATGTAGCGTCCTCTTGCTCCTAGTAGCGATGCCCTTTGTTACTAGTAGCTTCTTGTTACTACTAGTAAGGCACTTGCTCCTAGTAGCGTCCTCTTGCTCCTAGTAAGGCCAGGAGCCCCTACTCGACGTCCGGTGCATTGAGCAGATGTTCGATCTAATCGTGGCGACATCGTGTGTCCCCAATCTCCGAAGCGCCACGATGTGTGCTCCACATTCAACTAAAGCCCCTCTTTGTAGACCCCCACACTAAGTATCCCCAATCACCATAGACTAGCATCGCAATGTTTGATACTCTAGCTACGTACAGGAACACGCACCACTAGGCCACTAGGCAGTAGAGGCTGGGCCTCATGCAGTGTTGGCGTATCTTGCCGTACAGCTTGCGAGATGATGGCGTGCTGCGTACAGCACGTGCAGTTGCGACCAAGAAAGCCAGAGATGTAGACTGAGCTGTCCAACAGGTTCTGCAACTCGCAGCTAGTGTCTAGGGCTAGTTGGGGGAAGTCAGTTTTGTAGGGTGCATGTATGCTAGGCTAGAACGTCGTCTCGCAAGCTGGAATTTTCGGAACCAACAAAATCATAGCTGTCCCAAGGGTGCCCTAGGCACAGTAAGAAGACTCTCTTAAGGTCAATAGATCGCATTTTCCGAACCACTCAGGCGAGTCTGACAGATTGAATCCTTGTTTACGGGACACCTGCCAATGTTTAAGACCACTGACCAACAGTTACTTTCTCCTTGGAGTTAGTTTTCAACAGTGGTCTTCTCTTCTCAAGGTTCTTGCTTTACGAGAAAGGTTCGAAGCTTATTGGGTTTCCTAAAGACCAAAGACGGGAAACGGCAACTGCTTGCAGTTGTGAGACATGGCAACTGCGCAACTGCGTGGTGCGAGGTCAGCACTACGAGCCTCACATGGATGATGAGAGGTGGTGGGAGATGCCAGCCTTGAGTGCAGGAGAAACGAGCACGTTGGAGTTCTATCTTTAGAACCCCTGTGTGGTTCAGTTTCAGACACTACTATTAAGCTTGGAGAAAGAGCTACGCAGACTGCTCTTTGCCTGTTGCTTTGGCAAGACAACACAATATCAACATCCGTCAAACACGGTATGTAGAGCAGAAGATGTGAGCCGCCTTCAATGCCTTCAACCTCAAGAATTTGAAGGAAAAAACACGAAGCGATGGGGCCTCGGGGGGCCCCCAAAGCGATGCCGTACCAGAACAGGAAGGATGAACAGTGTTTTTTTTGAGTGCATGCATCAATACACTTGTTTGGTTGAAAGCCGGCGTTACCAACTGTCACTAACTGCAAGAAAGCTATGCCTCCCCTCCAAGCTCAAGTCTACAGATGTCCAAGACTGTCGGAAGCTACAAGGAGGCCTCCCCGAATGTATTTGATGGCATGGGATTGAACAAGGACTTCTGACAGCCACACATATCGAGGCCTCTGCTTGCATTCGAGATGTTCAGAGATTAGCTTGCACATTTCTGGGCCAACAACGTTTCTCTGTTCCTGTATATATATATATATCTATATAAGTGGCCCACCTACCCCCTTTGTTCTTTGAAAATGAAGTATGTCCATTTGGTTTGTTCTCCAAACAGTTTACTGTTGGGGTTCTCAATGCTTTTAAGTGTGTTCTGTGGACTGCTCTGTCCGCCTCGCGCTGCCCGACCTCTGGCGTGCAATCCCTTACATGTGTCTCCCAGCTCTGGACTGCCCAGCTCTGGGCTGCTGTGTCTGAAAAGCACAAACTGTGTGGGGTCTACGGTGATGTATTTTTTTCGATGGCTTATCCGCTTGCCCACCTTATTTCCTTTGAACTTTGCAGCTTCTTCTTGTGGCGCTGCAGGACTACGTGTTCTCACGGTCTTCTTTTACTTGTCTAAGGAGGGATGGGAGGGATGGGACAGTTTGTACTTTGTTGACCTGTCCTGTTTGCTGAAATCACAAAATACGTAAGTACCTTCAGGCTTGCCTGTCCTTCACCAATTTTGCCAGCTTTCCATTCCTTATGCCGAAAGTGTTTGCCTTTCCTCCAAGTTCTTAACTCCAAATTGGAATCAGAGTGTTTTCAAGATTTGTTGGCAAAATGACGTGTTTCCCAATTTTATATTGTTGGAATTGAGAATGCCTTTTGTCACGGGATTGTGTGGCAAGTGGACGAGACGCAAATAGCAGTTGTACCGCGATTCATTTTTCCAGGTGCATAAAGGTGGCACTTTGGCTGCATTTTGACACCCCATGTTGACTTTGGCTGCTATGGTATGTGCCGCATTGCTGAAGAGTCCGCCACCAGGGGAGACAAGCTTCCCCAATGCCAACCTTGTGGTAGAGCCACTTGCAGGACCGAATCGAGAAATAAAGGGAGAAGAGGGGAGAGAAAGAACAAAAGAGGATGAGAGAGATACAGAATGAGTAAGAAGAAGCTACTAGGGGCTCCCGGCATTGCTACTAGGAACAAGAACGCTACTAGGGGCTCCTTCTCTGAACCAAGTGGCCACAGGGAGTCGTTAGTTTGTTTGACCTTCTTACTTGACCCACTTGAGATCAACAGAATCGCCTTTAGCAAGCCGCATTGCCGCATATCTGGACTTGATGTGGCTGTGCGAGGAAAGGCCGTTGTTTGGGCCAATGTGCAGTCCAATATTTGGATCCTGGGACTCTTTTTACACCGGTCGAGCAGAGTCGAGCACGACTCGTTTCGTTGATGTTTGCCAATTTCCAAGGAAAATGGACGAGTACTCGTTGCATCAAGCAGTGCCAGTTGTTGCTGGCAGGAAAATCGTGTCCTGACCAAACTGCATAGCTCACGTAGTTTGAGCCTGGGGCCTTGCAAAAAGATGTTGGACAAACAGCTTTTATGAAGGGCTTGGGAAGGGAAGAGATGCTGCAATTTGCTGCACCACACTTGTGAGATTTCGTTCATTTTGGGCCTTCCAATATGTCCCTTGCAAATAATGTTAGCAAGAGGTAAGCACTGCTTGAGCAGCCTTGGTTGCCAAGGCTGCAAATTTCTGGGTGCATCCTTTTGAGTATCGCCTCTTGGACGAGCCTTCCTGTTCTTTTTGTATCTTGCTTTTGTAAACTTTCTTTTGGGAGGCCATCGCTTCTTTTGTTCAAACATGTGTTTTCCTTTTCTTCATGTTTCTTTTCAATGTGACGTGTTGAATTTGTCAAACTCCAAGGAGCGGCAGAGCGCTTCTGCCGTCACCAAGAGAACACAGAAAAATGGTGACCGTGAGACTCAGACTAGACAAATACCAAGTGGAAAGTGAACCAAAAACGCTTTGAAGCTGACGATGTTTTTTCTCACAATCTGAGTGGTGCTTCCTCCGGCTGTGCAGCACTTGTGAAGGATCCTGACAACAGTGTTGCAGCGTGCTTTACACACGCCAAGGTGCCACAGAGCCCGGCAATGTCCTGTGTTGAACCAACTTGTGCCGGACTCAATCTCGGCCTCTACATGGGCTAGAGGTAACGAGAAGTCAATGCGCTTGAAGCCAAAGCCCCAAGGCCATGCAGAGAGCCTTTTTTCAACGCCATTCAAAGGAGGTGGCAATGTTTTGGAATTCGTCGGATCCCTAAATTGCCTTGTGACTTATGACTTGTTGGCAGGTTTCACAAGCATCAGCAACTGGAGTTGCTCTTGCTAGCAAGTTTTTGTTGGTGGCCAGAATTGCAGCCATATGCATTTATCACTGCTAGGACCCCTTGCCGTGCGATTCCTCCCTGCCCTCTTTGCCCTGTCTGCCTGCTGGCTTTCGTCACCAACCCCTGGCCTCAAGCGAGACCAAGCAACCGAATTTGATTCCTGTGACTAACTCTGAAATTGCTCAGGTTCTTCCAGATGGAATGGAGCCCATCACCAACCATGCGTGGAAGCTCATCACTTTTGGACAAGAGCAACACAAGGGAAACCTAGTGAAACCAAATTCAGTGAACCTTCTCACACTTTGTGCAAGGTGATGCACACCATAGTCCTGCGTGGTTGTGGCCTTGAATCCGCCGTGCGAGACGAAGTGAAAGGGAAGGGCCAATAGAGTAGAGTTCGTCAAAGAAGAAATGGAGTTCGATCCAAAACGTTCTTAGTTCGTTCGTCTTAGTTACTTATATAGTCTCTTTCAATGCCAAATTGAATGGTGAATGTTCCGCATGTAGAAGGTGTATAATACATGCATATGTATATGTATATATAAAGAGAGATTGGCCTTTTGAGGAGATTGCCAACAGCCAACTTCAAATTTGCAAGAATGCCTCTCAGTATTGCCAGGTTCACCAATTGGTTTCTGATGCTCTTTTTGTTTTCCCCAGCCTTCCCTAAATAGCTTGTGGCCACAACAACAGGCACGAGACTGTGCTTCGTAGTCGTAGCCGAATAGTTTCAAATTGTGAAGCAAGTCGATGAGCCATGAGAGCCGTCGGTTGCACCCTTTGATCTGAAAAGTCTATTTCCGATTTCAGAACATACGGTAACCCGTACCATACCCTTTCATGGCGAGAAAAGCCTCAAAGAGTCTCATGTCCGACTGGACGTGGAGCAGTTGTACAACTCAGCTAGTCAAACAATCAGTCATTTTGTCGACAGGGCAGAGTTTTTGGGTCAGTGGCGGGAGGGACTCAAGAACGGCAAGCTGGTAGGATTTGTGAAGGCAGAAGGGCAGAGAGGTGGGATTTGACTTTTGCAGTCAAGGACCAGTGAAGTTGCTGCCCAGGACCACATTTTCGACTCCCTCCTGGAGGCTTCATGTGAGGGCTCCCAAATCTCTTCGAAAGTCTTGGTTGAAGTTGTCTTCTCAGCTCAAAATCTGACATTCGAATTGTGGCCATTCCTGTCAGATTGATTAGAATTTACGATTCCAGAAGATTGTCAGATTGGGTGGTTGCCGTTGCCAAACCAGGCGATGAAGTACAATGTTGTGGAAAGTGTGAAACAAAACTAAGAATATCAATAGGTATGGAGCCTTGGCTTTAAATGACGTGTACATTTCTTTGTTCCCTTTATGCCTTGGTCGACTCGTGCTGCCAACGGCGCCTTGAGGCCAACTCGCCTAGCAGGTGAACTGTTCTCGACCGATCGTGAGAGGCACACAGTTTCTTGTCCAGTCCCATTTTGAAGTACTGACTTTTGCTTCGTGCGTCTCTTGAGCTTTGCTTGCCTTGGCTCATTTTCTGTCTGCTGAGAGTTCAAGTAGTTTGCCGAACCATTTCGCAGGTACTTGTGAGTTTAAAGTGATGTGTGCTTTAAAGAATATCATTAGGATGGAGGCCATCGCTATTAGGGACCAAGTGGTCTTGTGACCTACATCCGCCACTTGAGATTCGATCGAAAAGACGCTGCCTGCAGGCGAGTGTCCTACGCGGAGTCTGTGGGGCTTTTGCCATTTGTCCCAGTCAAAGTGGTTGTCCCCTGAGCAGAAACGCTGCATAAAAAGGAAGACATGTTTTTACAAGAACCATTTGAATGCTTTTGAAATCTCTTGAGAACATTAATCAACAATGTTTGTTCACTTCAAGTTGAATACCAATGGCAATACCAATGGGCCTTCCTGTGTTCTTTGCTGCAATGCATAGGTGGGTGGGGTCCTGCAGCCCACTGGGAGCGAGCCCTTTGCTGACGATGCCTGGAATCCAGTCTCACGAACGAAGAACTGAAGGAACAACATTACAGAAAAGAGACACTGAGAAAGAAGATGAAAGAAGAAAGAGGAAATGAAAGAAGCCGTGCAATGGAAGCAAGCATGGGAAGAGCAATAGTGCTCACAAATAAGCTGCAAGCAAACGGGCAAGAATGGCAAATGGGGAGCAAATCAATTCTAAATCAACAGACAGTTCAACTACGATTAGTAACAAGGGCATTACTACTAGTGGCAAGAAGCTACTAGTAGTAATGCCCTTTGTTCCTGGTGGCGATGCACTTATCGCGTTGGACTTCCAACATGGTTAAGTTACATTTCTTCCCGGACTGAAGCCTCTTGGCGGTCTAGGTGCGGAATGATGTTTTTCTGCGGTTCCGCCTGGCTTCGGCGCTCCACTCCAGCACAATCGGCATTTTCGGAGAAACGTGGAGAAAAGAACTTGTTACTAGTAGCGATGCCCTTGTTACTAGTAGCTAGAAGTAGTTTCTAGCTACTAGTAGCGATGCACTTGTTACTAGAGCACTACAGAGCACTACAGAGCACTTTGCACTTTGGGGAAAATGTCAGTAGTGCCAGGAGGCAATCTTTCAGCCTCCCTTACCATTATGCTGCAACTTGGCGGAACTTAAGATCAGTGGCATACAACATACAGGCTCAATCAGCTACATGAACCTCAAGTCGCAAGTACTTTCAATCAAGGGTGGCTTTCCAGGGTGTGTCAATTACCGAGGCCCGTAGGATACACTGTGCGAGAGGTAGGAGTTCGAAGCTCAGACGAAGCCTGCCATCATGGTAGCTCAACGAAAGCAAATGGCAGTTGGCGTGTACAACAAGACCTCTCAGACAAAGCTGACTCCCAACAGTCCACTGTTAGCAACTGCTCCCTGAAAAGACCTTACTTGCAGAGAGGCCCTCTGAAAGAAACGTTTTCTGTTCAAGAGAGGATCGCTCCGCTGTCCACTCCTCCAAAGGTCTCATTGAGTTCCACTGTTATCTTCACGACCAGGCTGTAGATCTGCCGCTGTGGTCACGGCAGCTGTCGCTGATTACTAAGACAACCTGAATGCTCAGTGCGTTGGGCTTCAGATTGGCTTCACAAAGCCTTTGCTTTTGCTAAAAGCTATCAGCAAAAAGTTTTGGATAGCTTTGAGGTCAAGTCAGATGGGCGACGCCTGGCTGTGTTCAACAAGGCGCTCTGAGCAGAGTTGCCCAGCGAGCTTTTTTTGGTGCGTTGCCGAAGTTCAACCACTTCAAAGCAGGCAGTTTAAGCATGTTTAAGCACCTTCCATCTCCAGCTTAATTGTCTTCACGGCTCATCTCAGCGATGCTGCGCTAAAACGAATCATTAACGCTAAAACTATTTTGGAGGCCAAGCCGCACACGGGCCCATTGCTGTTCAAATCAAAATTTGCTTCCACTAGTCGGTTAGTTCATCCGAGCAACCAAAAACGTCGGGAAACCTATCTCCCCTCTCTCCGCTTGACAGTGTTCTCTCCAAATGCAGCTTCTTTTGCTTGTTCCGCCAGTGTGTGCATCGATTTGTTGGAAGTTGGAAGGTTTTGTACCCTAACCTTGCACAATGCGGTCATCTACACTGGCTACATTGTGGTGCCTTCGCCTGATTGCAAGTTGTTTTCCAGTGCCTTCCTGTCGACAGCTGCGGCAGGTACACTTTCTAGTGGACAACCCCATGACGCCACTGAAGGTGAACTTTGAGGGAAACCGCTGGGCAGCTCAGGATCCATGTCAAGCGATGGACTCACTCTTCCCCTCAACTTCTGCAGGTTGGCGGATCAACATCACAGGTCCGGGGGATGCAGAGAACCTTGTGAGCTTCCCTGAACAAACGTCACGGGTCTCAGAAAGACAACATGAGAGCCTTGAGTTTCATTGGACAGCAGCAATTTTGCCGAAGCTTCTTTCCTGAGTCGTTTTTCCCACGAGAACATGTTTATTGTTTACGAAAGATGAGGTTAGAGCCGCCCTCTTCACAGGCCATTGGACAGTGTCTCTCTTTTGTGATGAAACAGCATTAGTCCAAGGAGCTTTCGGCGTGTTGCAGAGCTGTTTGTTGCTCAGATTTTCAAAGGACTGAAGGCCTGTCCCAGCATGGACCCCTTGCGGATCGTGTTACTCATAGCTTTCAGCCAAGTGGGCGCTGAAAAGGTGTACCCGTTTGACAAGGTGCAGTGGGCGCACTGAAGCTTTGCTATGGATGCTTAATATTGCATCGATCTAAATGTTATTCTCCCCCTCTCAAGTTCCAACAACACATTACTTAATTGACAAAGCGTTTTTGGGTGGATGATTGAGGGTATGTCCATAATATCCCGTAATGATTGTCCACGATAGTTGCTCATTATAGTTGCTTCCTGAAAGCCTCTCTTACTTCCGTGCCTGCACGCGAACGAGGACTCTTCCAAAGTAGGTCACCCCACACCATCACGATGACGCGCAGCGTCTCCTTCGTGCTGCATAGGTGGATTTCATCGGGCGCTGGTTTGAGGTTGGAGCTCAACAGGCTTCAAGCTGGGGCACTGTTTCTTTTGCAGTGACCTTCAAAGGCTCAAGTGCCTTGGCGACAGACTCCCAATAGAAATGGCCTCCAACCTACTAGCAATGGCCTCCATCCTAAGTTTGGACATGTTCACTATATATATATAGCTGTATTCTGAAACTAACACTCCCTGCTGAGTCACGAACGCGCTTTTGTGCATACGTGCATAGACCGCATAGAGGCTTGTATCAGAAAAAAGTAAAGGGGGTGAGGTTGCAGGCAAGAAAAGCCTAGAAAAAGCGATAAAAACGGAAAACCCTAGCTTGAAAGAGTAAAGAGGTTTGGATGTGAGAGGGGTGTTCCATAAGGGGTTCGCCAGGTATGTGGATGAACCATTCTGTCAGGGTTTCTTGAGGTTTTTGTTACAGGTGTTTTGTGGACTGTTCCTTTGTCAGACCTTGCTTGAGACTTTGCCATTTAAAAATGGTTTCTGAACGTTGACCTGAGGCTTTGTGACCCTTTCTTTGTCATGAGACCTTGCTTGTTTTGAGACCTTGTGAGACCTTGCTTTTTATGAGACCTTTCCTTTGTGAGACCTCGTGCGACCATTTGAGCATCTTCTTTGTCATGAGACGTGTTATCTTTCGAGACCTCTCGTTTTTGTGAGACCTTGCCATTTGAGACCCTGTCTTTTCATGAGGTTTTGCTTCATGAGACCTGGCTTTTTGTGAGTCCTTGTGTGAGACCTTGCCATGTGAGACCTCTCTTTGTGAGACTTTGCTTTGTGTGAGACCTTTCGTTTTTGTTAGAGACATGGGGTGAGACCTTGCCATTTGAGACCCTTTCTTTGTCATGAGGGTTTGCTTCATGAGACCTTGCTTTTTGTATGACCTTGTGTGAGGCCTTGCTATGGGAGACATTGCTTTGTGTGCGACTTCTCCTTTTTGGAGACCTTGGGCGAGACCTTGCCAATTGAGACCTGTCTTTGTCCTGAGAACTTGCTTTTGGTGAGACCTTTCCTTTTTGTGCGACCTCTCGTAAGACCTTGACATTGTCCTGAGACCTTTCCTTTCTGTGAGACCTCTGGTGAGACATTGCATTTGAGGCCCTTCTTCGTCCTGGCACCTTTCTTTTTGTGAGACCTTTTTCTTTCTGTGAGACCTTGCCATTTGAGACCATTTCTGCGTCATGAGACTTTGCGTGACTCTGCTCTTGTGAGGCGTTTCCTTTTGTGATACCTCACAACCTTTCCTTCTGCAAGACCTTTCCTTTTTGTCCAGAGAATTTAAGGTGTGAGAGATTGACAGGCAAGGCCCCCACACTAAAGGGGCGAGCTGCAATTAACGGGGCGAGCTGAGGAGAACCAGACGGTAAAGGACTGTCGTTGCTTGTGGCCTGAACGAACAAGAAGCTGGAAAGCACAACAAAAGCTTTGACAATCTTCAAAAAAAAAACATTAATAATAACCAACAAAAAACATAATATGCAGGATGTGAATGGTTTAATGCAACCTCCTGCGAGAGCCATGTGAGTCCCATCTTTGTCCTGAGACTGAGACCCTTGCCCTTTGTGAGACCTTTCCTTTCCATGAGACTTCTGAGACTTTGCTTTGTGTGAGACGTTTCTTTTTTTGTGAGACCTCCGGTGAGACCTTGCCATTTGATCCCTTCTTTGTCCCGGTGAGACCTTGCTTTTTGAGACTCTTCTTTGTCGGTGGGATCTGTTTTTTTTGTGAGACTTCCTGTGAAATCTTTCTATTTGAGACCTTGCTCAAACATATATTTCTAAACATACATACTCAAACATGCTCTTTTTCATCACTCACCTTGAGAAAAAAACACTTTCTGGACTCCAATTCCACCAAAACCACACCTGCCCAGCGTTTTCCATGTTTTTCAATATGTTTACAGCTTTTTTCCAGCAAGAGAACACACCCCATTTAGAGCTCACCGCATTAACTGTTTACCAATTGTAACATCGCAATTGAGTTGGAGGCCATCACTAGTAGGTTGGAGGCCATTGCTCTTAGGTTAGATCGCATAGAGGCTTGTAACATCTTCTAACCGAAGCGAAAAAACAAAATTGCCTCACTGGCTTGACCTGAGGTCGGTTGGTGGCTCGCATACAACCATACAATGTGGAGATGTATCACACTTGTCAGGTGGATGACAACGATCCCTACGTTTTGTCACATCAAAGTGGATTGATGGAGATTGCAAGGGGACTTGCCAAGGAAGAGACCCACACCATAAAATGTGGCCGCAACACTGAGGCATTTTATGGAGTGACAATTTTAGATGCTCTCTTGGTGGATGACAGCTGTGTGGCATTGTCTCCTCCAAGCATAGCAAATGAGTTACATGTGGAGTTCCTGGGTGATTCTATCACGGCGGGATGGCAGGTCTTATTGAGCTCAGGCTCATGGGAACAGGGCGGTCCAAGCAACGAGGATGTATTTCACAGCTATGCTGGACGCTTAGCCCAAGCTTGGACATCAAATTGGCGTGTCGTTGCCCAAACGAGCATTGGTGTCCTGCCACATTACTCTTTCGGGACCAACTTCAAAGGTATGAAAGATCAGTTTCTATGTCGAGAGCTAAAGCTCTATGAGCCTTGTCCCAAGGAGTGGAATTTCGAGTGGCAAGCTGATGTAGTTGTGATTAATTTGGGAACCAATGACTTTATCTTCAACAATCCAAGTGAGTCTGAATTCCAGTCAGCATATGCAACATTGATTGGGCTGGTTCGAAGCAAATACCCAACGGCCCTGATCTTTTGCGCCTCACCTTGCTCAATCCAAGTTTTGACTGTTTGATCTCGAAATCTCAATGATTGTTAGAACTTGGAACTTATAGTATGATGTTTGTTTGGGATATGTTTGCTTATTTAGTTATGTTTGATCAATCTGTTTGCGTGTGATAGGCATTGTGCCCCTGGTACAATCTTGCAAGCCTGATGCAAAATGGCAAAAAATGATAAATGGAATCACGAATGCAGTGGCGAATGCAGTGAGTTCCGGCGATGAACGGATTCTATTGCAAGGCTCTGGAGATACACAGACAAGATTGTTGGATTGCATCAGTGACTACGTCGATCAGATCCATCCCACTCAGCAGGGCGCCCTACGCTTTGCAGAGAAGTTGCTACCCATGATGACGCCAAAGATTCGAGAGAACTTTCCTGAGAAGTGTCAAGGTGAAGGAAACACATGTGGAGCTCAGAGCGCTTCAACCACTGGCCTTAGCAGAACAAGCTCACAAACGACAGACACTACAATTGTTTCCACCTCAACTGTTGGTGGAATTGGTGGATCTGGTGCGATGTGTTGCTATCCCAGTTGCAATGACCCTGCCAGGGTATGCAATGATGAGACGGAGAGCGAATATTGCACCAGTTCTCCTGCAAAATGCCAAGCTTGTGGAGGGGAGTTGTGTGGTCCCACAGCGACATCGACCAGTGGAACGACGTTACCAGCTACCACCGAAAGGACTGACATTCGCGCTTTCACGTTGTGAAGTTGTGATTTGGGCTCTTAGAAATATGACATATGATGAAATAATGGTGTGTTTGCAAATTATGTTTCAGGACCACTATTGGGACCACCTCTCAAAGCTCTCAAAGCGCTGAGTGTTGTTATCCTGACTGCAGCAGTTCTGTGTGCAACCCTTCAAACAGCTATTGCAGTCGGTCCTCAGAGAATTGCCAAAAATGTGGTGGTGAACTTTGTGGAAGGGTAGAGACACCGACAGAGAGCCCGACAAGTACAATGGTTACAAGTTCCGCTTCAGGTGGAGAGCTCTTCAAGTGTTGTTATCCCGATTGCAGTTCCCAAGTGTGCAATGAGCCAGAAGATAGTCCTTATTGCACCAGCTCTCCTGAAAAGTGCAGCAATTGCGGTGGGGAGCTTTGTGCTTTTCAAGCCAATGGGCTGGTCGCAACTTCCCTAAGAGATGAGAGCTAAAGAAACGAACAGCAATGCCCTAGTGCCCCAGTCGGCAGTACCCAGTCACTACCCCGTCAGGGTCCAAGCCACGCGACGCCATTTGCTTCTAGCATCTCAGGCCTGTGTAGATGGCCTAGCAATTTTGTGTTTAGAGGTGTTTCCTGCCAAGGGGAGTTTTGCCTTCACGATCTCTCATGAAACAATCTCACTTGCCTACCCCCTTTAGGTGGCACTGGAATGGCCTCTAGTTTTGATATTTGTCAGGAGAATACAGAAACTGGGTCAAGAGCGCACAGAAGCGTGAAGGGCATTCCTGTGAAGCTTGGTTTCTAAAGGTAGACTTCTGCAGAACATGGGTGTTCCTTTTGCTCGCTTTTTTCCCGATTTTGACCCAGTCTACTTGGGCAGTAACACTCCATCTGGCTCAATTTCGGGTGGACACTGAAGAGGACCTTCCCGAAAAAGAGCTAAAGGACCTTGTAAAGGCGCTGCGATCTCCGTGGGCAAAAAAGTCGCACCTTTGTTTTTCTTCATATTACACGATTGAACTCGTTTCAGAATAGAGCAATGCAGGAATACTCCGTTCCCTTCCTGAAAACATGAGTTCAGTCACATAGTGCATGACGAAACGACACCATCATAAAATCATTGTCAATAATATTAGGCAAAAAAGAACATGCCTGGTATATAACTGCCCCAAAACTGCCCTGCTTCAATCAAAGCCACAGTCTGTTTTTTCGTTGGGTGAGCGTCAGGCAAGTTTGGTTGCGTCCACGGTATTCGTCTCAGACTTTCTGCGCTGCAAAGACACCTGTAAGAAAGACACCGAACATGATGGATGCCCATGTGTCTATTTTGCATGTTTCGTTGTATACTCGTTATATGTGAGGGGCTTGATGTCGCTACCGGAAGGGCAGAGCCGTCATTGGAACCACAGTGCAGCAGCTACATGCCCACGCTGTTTCGAGTTGCAAAAAGAATTGTCCAAGCTCTGAGAGTCTGCCACTAACGGACCCTCGCATGATTCCCGAGGCTGTTCTTGGGCGTATCACTTTGCCAAGTGGGTGTGCTCAGATTGAGCACCTGAACACTTGTACCATCTTATAGATATACGGGAGGCGTGAGCCTTTTCATTTCTTACAGATATACGGATCTCAAAAAGCGTTCAAGGTTGGTTTAGTCAGCTGAGAGCAAGGAACGCCTTTGGGCTTGCAAGGATTAGCCACGAGGGGCCACATTGCAATGGAATCCATGTCTGCATCTTGCAGCGGCCATTGTGTTTTGGCTTCCTTTTCATTATTTGTTCTGGCTTGGCTTGTGCACTGACAAAGGATGCTTCATACAGGTGGAGTAAGGAGGACAGCCAGCAACAATCTCCAAAAAGTCGTGGGAGGAGCGCGAAGTTGTTAGAGGGAGATACAGTGACAGCGCCTGTAGTGCACGATCAACTGCATGGGGTAGTGACGATAGCTCAGACATTTCACTCGGCCCAAGAATTTTTGTTGGCTAAGTGACCAATTGACCAGTTCCATTCTACTATTAGGTTGGAGGCCATCGCTTCTAGGTTGGAGGCCATGGATCTTCAGACGTGCGACTGAAGGTTTGCTACCTTCGAGCCTTTGGCAGGGTGCTTTTCGCAGTCACACACTTAGCACCCTCTCAAAGTATGAGATCCCTTCTGGACTCAACCACGACAAGACTCTTGGAACAAACAGTAAGCAAGTAATTACAAGTGTTTTGCATCCGCCAAAATTGCCGAAAGATGCGGAAGGCATACTTGTGACTGACCGGCTAAGGTCTTGCTCGAGTCTTCCTTCGCACCCAACAGGGCTGGGCTTGGCTCTCAATGGCAAATGCGAAAGGGATTTTGATGGATTTTGGCCATAAAGCAACGACCACAAAATGTAGTATTTGAGTCATTATCGGTTCATTTTCCTGAACTCTTGCCGCGGCTGTCAAGCAGCTTCCTGATTGAATGCAAAGCCAAGCGAAAAAACAAAAGATAGACAACAGAAACCAAAGAGGCAAGTGTTGCTTTTGGCCCAAACTCAAGGTTGGCGAGTTCGCAGTGCAGATGATTGTGCCCAAAAGCTTTGGATTTGATGACCCCTGCTTCGTGCAGGAGCAAGGGCTGCTCGTTATGGGCAAGTTGCAACTTAGACTTTCAAGGTTTCAGGTCCAAGGTGTTCCTTTTCTCACGTTTAGGGGTAGGGTATGGGGTCGTGAGCAAGGGCCTGGCTTGCCAGCTGGTATGCACTGCACCATTGCACCCGAACCGTAGCGTCAGGGTCAGCACAATAGCTCACAAGATTTCGGAGGGAGTTTCTGTTTGCAACTCAAACAATGAAACAAAAAGTTAGTGACCAACAAGGACTGTGTTGTTTGAGTGTCTTCAGTTGTCATCTTGAGCAGCTCGAATTTGATCGTTTGTTCTCGTGCCAGGACTTGCCAGAGCCATACTATCGTCCCCGCCAAGGACTCCTCGGCCCCACCACCAGCCGATCACCAAGCACTGAATAGTGAAGTAGCCCTTCAATGGAAAAGCGTGGATCCAGAGCCAAGCATTGAATTTCTTTCAGCTTGTGAGGTATGGAAGAAGAATCTGGGGTCACGTTGCATCGAATTCCTCGCGCTCAACGCTGAGAAGAATCGACAAATTCACTCGCGAGATCTGCAAGTGGCGAGGTCACTCGATGCCTTGCTCGTCGAGTCAGGCTCTGAAAGGTCTTTGGGTCCCAACAGCGACTCTTCCGGTGGGCGAATGAGAGCCATATAGAGCCAAAGGAAGCACGCAAAGCCGCATAGCAGTTGGAGGTCCATTTGACCGCAAAAGCTGTTTGCACAAGTCGAGGTCTCAAGCTTTGCCAATGCCTCTGACGAGGACGCCAGAACTGGCTTCAGGCTGAGGCAGAAGTTGAGGCTCTAGAGTTCCATGTGATCAAAAGGGCTGTGACCATGCAGTGTTGCAAAAGGTATAGCATTTGTTGAAGCCTGGCTCGACGATTGTTGGCACACCTTGAGAGCGGCCAGCTTTGGCTGTTGCAGTTTGGAGGACACTGTGCGGCTTGGACCTGAAGTCTTACCACACATAGCGGAGGTCTACACAACAGGCCCAAGACACAGACACATTCAGAAGGCGGACTGGAGCATGCAACAAGGAGCAAGGACGCTACTGGTAGCTCCTGGCATTACTAGGAACAAGAAGCTACTAGTAACAAAGGGCATCGCTACTAGCAACAAAGGACATTACTACTAGTAGCCATTCTTGCTACTATAGCGAAGAACTTTTGTCCTTCTCTTTGAATCTTCGACCTGTTTGAGGTCCCATGATGGAAACCACGATGTATGGCTTTGCCATTTTCATCCGCCACTCGAGCTTCACGCAAGGCCATCGTCCGGTCATCCACACTAGAAATATGAGAGTACACTGAGTATATACACTAACATTCTAGGATCAATGTGCAGCTCACCGTGGAATGTGTCCAATTTTGTCAAAGAGGTCTGGCCCGGTTTTTTTGATCGTCCAGCTAGTGATTCAGGTGGTAACTTTCAGCTTGCTACATTCATCCAGGGAGAATCTCACCTGCACTGGCGCTGATGGTGCGCGCCAAGTCGAATTGAAGCAGTTCCTCTAGGTAAGGGGCATTCCCATGTGGCAATTCCAGTCTGCAATATGCACGACAGACCAAGGAAAATTGGGAGATGCTCGACCGAGTAGATGATGTTCCATTGATGCCATCTGCAAGTAGTGTGAACCTTTTTGCCGAGGCATCGCGGCATCGCACATAGCTTTGTTGCAGTCGGTTAGTGTCAAAGCCTGTCAGCAAAGGATCAGTTTTGAACAAAGGATCGGCAAAGGATCGGCTGTACTCCTGCAATTCAATACTTATGTTGTTGACTCTGGGGATCACTTGGGTTGGTACAAGCGATTACAAGCGGTTGATGGTTGGTTCGGAGTAAGTTCTGGCTCCAGGCAGCTTCTGCAGAGGCCTTTGTCGCGCCAATGTTACCATTTGCTCTTACAGGGAAAACTGCAAGCGTGCAGCTCGGCTATGTTTCATTTTCTTCAGCCAGCAAGCAGCCTCTTGTTGACACATGTAAAACATCTGAGAATTGGCTTTCCTCATGTGTTACTTTGAACCATACCCCAGGCGTATCTTATTACGGCCGATGGTGTCAGATTCGCTCATATGGCAGAAAGTCTCCTGGCGCGTGTGTCCTGGTATGAATGAATGGAAGGGTGCAACTTACAAAGGCTGCTGAATTATTTGGAGTTGTTATGTAATGTAGTTGTTTTTTGGAATCAGTAGGTTATATTTTTGGATTGCAAAGACTGCGGTGTTTGCAAGAAGCCTACCTTTTTTTGAGTCGCAAATTGGCCTCTATGTTTTGCACCCGCTCAGCGATGGAGCTTGCAGAATATGACATGTTGTGTTGGCTTTCTTTTTACTTCTTTTCATTTGCTTTCCTTTGCTTATTATCGTGTTGTTTTTGTTCTTTAGTGTTCTTTCTTTATGTTTTCTACAGATCTTTCTCTTTGCTTTAGTTGTTCTTCAAGAGAAGCTGCTGGGACGAGGTTTGCTCCACACACATACGTTTGGGACTTTGCGAGCTACAACTTTTTTTCTTCAGGCCTGGGTTGCATTAAAGATATGGAGGCTATGGCAAGATCAAGTTCAGAATCAAAGATAAACATGCACCAAACAGAAGTTCTTTGCAACCCTCGGGGATGTTTGGATTCAAAGCATCAATCAAAAGGCACTGAATAGACCGACTTGAAAGACCAAAGTAACCGTTTGAAGAATTGGGATGATTGGTCGAATGGGTAAATACTCAATTCCAGGCATTCACAAGTTCCGGGCAGCGACACGGATCTTCCGATCGTGAAGATACCATCTATGCCACGGACATCGCCACTGAATTTGCTGGTCTTTCAAGGCGGGCAAAACGGTGCAAGATTCCATTTTTTCAAAGAGTGCACGATGAATGAAGGGCTTTCAAAAGCTGAAGGGCTCGATCTTTGGAAGATGAATGCTGTGCAAGGTGCAGATGAAGCCTCTCCTGGCTGGGTCCACAATTCTACATATGGCTTTCGCCACATACTTGGAGAATTGAACATCCTGGCGATCAATGTCGAGTAGGCATTCTTCCTTCAATAACAAGGAACCTAATAGCAATGGCCTCCAACCTCCAACCGCGATAGCCTCCAACCTACTGGCGATGGCCTCCAACCGACTAGCGATGGCCTCCAAACCCACTAGCAATGGCCTCCAACCTACTAGCGATGGCCTCCAACCAATTAGCGATGGCCTCCAACCTACTAGCGATGGCCTCCAACCTAGCGATGGCCTGCAAACCTACTAGCGATGGCCTCCAACCTAGTAGCAATGGCCTCCAACCTACCAGCGATGGCCTCCAACTCACTAGCGTTGGCTTCCAAACCCACTAGCGAGCCTCCAACCTAACAGCGATGGCCTCCAGCCTCCAACCTAATAGCAGTGGCCTCCAACCTACTAGCTATGGCCTCCAACCTACTAGCAGTGGCCTCC